ATAGTATAGTATATATATATATATATATATTTATATATATATATATATAGTGTGTGTGTGTGTGTGTGTGTGTGTGTGTGTGTGTGTGTGTGTGTGTGTGTGTGTGTGTGTGTGTGTGTGTGTGTGTGTGTGCGCGCGCGTGCGTGCGTGCGTGCGTGCGGACGTGCGTGCCCGTACGCGTGTGTGTTAAACCCAACCTATGATCATCTGCTCTTGATATTATAGGGGTAAATAATCTCACAATGATCTCAATCTCTTTGAGATTATTTACCCCAGCTACATATTGCCTTCATCTCACTGCATCGATGCAATAAGCTCCGTAAATAGTTATATCAAGAAACCCCGGGTAAATAGTGAATCATATGGAGATTGTAACGGAGCAATAATGGCAGATATGCTCGCATGATCCGTGCGATTGGAGATCAATGTGCGAGACCATAAAATCACGAACATAATGAGCGTCTGTAAATAACGACTAGGATATTCATGGGGAGACTTGAGATACTATATCCATCTATATACATATATATATAACTGCCCTCCCTTCCTCATCCTCTAGGTATGTTAAATCGTGTCATACTATAAAAAAAAAACTACCGTGCGATTTTTTAACGATGCAGCTCGAGCTTACGCAACAACTACGGTCAGCACTTGACTTTACAAGCAAACAATACTGCAGGAAGAGAGAGAAGAAGTGAAGTGTGAAACATCAGATATCCGCTTACTTGCTCATGCCCTTGAAGACGGTTGCGTAGGAGCCTTCCCCTAGTTGTTCCAACTTCTTGTACGAGTTCATCTTACCGAAGGGTGAGTCCGGCTGTGGAGGGAAGAAACATGCGGGTCAGTAACAGTTCACACTGATATATGAAACACCACTACAGTCATCGTTGCCTAACAGTCTACCAGTGCCATACCTAGCCACTATATAGTCATCGTTGGCTAACTGTCTACCAGTGATACACCTAACCACTATAGCCATCGTTGGCTAACAGTCTACCAGTGATACACCTAACCACTATAGCCATCGTTGACTAACAGTCTACCAGTGATACACCTAACCACTATAGCCATCGTTGACTAACAGTCTACCAGTGCCATACCTAACCACTATATAGTCATCGCTGCCTAACAGAGTCTACCAGTGATATACCTAACCACTATAGCCATCGTTGGCTAACAGTCTACCAGTGATACACCTAACCACTATAGCCATCGTTGCCTAACAGTCTACCAGTGCTATACCTAATCACAACAGGCCGTTCCGAGGCTAATTTTTTATGGGTTTTCTGTCGTCTGGCTCATTTCTGGGATCATCTACGAACCGGCGCTCTAACGACAGCTACCTAATAAACGCTACACGGATGAGGTTTGGCTAAGTTGCCAACGAAATATCGTGACAATGTCCCCCAACCGTGTTCCCTCCAATGTTCCCCCTACCTAGCGCTGCCAATGTTCCACCTAGTGCTCACATGATGCTCGCAGAACACCGACGTAACAGCTGTGTCCTTTTTGTAAATGTCAGCGAGAGGTAGATCTGCGCGACCGTTTTATTAGCCTACATTATTGAACCATTTTGCTTTTGTGGCCCAAATGGCCATTAAATTCGTCACTAAATTCGTCTAGGGGACATGATTACCACAAGCTCTGACATTTTTTTTATAGGTAGCCACGATGCTCGTTACTACGCGCATATGTTAGTGCGTTACGCAGGAACCGTACGTGCACGTACACAGTATTATCAGATCGCGTTGATTCTTGTAATAAAGACAACCCACAGACGGGAAAGCGAAGACCAGCTGTGAATGAGAACTCACGCAGTATGTCTCGCTCCTTGTATATATATACGCCTGCGTACACACGCTGTCCCACGGGGAGAAATCGAGTGCATTAATTACACATGCACATTACACAGTATTAACAAAATACTGAATTGTAATCTGTGATAAATACATGTGAATATACATATAATACAGCACATCGCGGTTCGGAAAGCTGGATATATATTTTCGCAAAGGGTGTCTCCTGGCGTAAACGTGATAACTGTAAACTATGAAACAACAGATGCGCTAACCAGAAGTTATCTACCAGCAATTTGTGACACCAGCCACGTCAACAGGAGCGAAATTCAACATGACGAATTCATTCGCGGAGTTCACTCACAACCGATACATGGTAATTCTTTCCCACCAGTCTGCTGCTTTTCAAATATATACATATATGTATATATATAATATATATATATACTGAGTTGTACGGACGTTATAACAGCTTACAGCACATGTTTACCGATTCCTAATTTGAATTAGATGGCTTACAAACACGCGCTATTGTGCAAAACACGGGCGAATACTGCTAGTAATAACAAACACATAGCCCGTGTATATATTTCAGGGGCGGACTAGTTACGGCGCCATTCTTACTCGCAGCGATCAGCTGAGAGTGCTGCGGTGTGTGTGTGTGTGTGTGCGTGTGCGTGTGCGTGTGCGTGTGTGTGCGTGCGTGCGTGCGTGCGTGCGTGCGTGTGTGTGTGCGTGTGTGTGTGTGTGT